GGGCCTCGCGCCTCTGGCGCAGGCCGCGGCGCGCGCGCGGAGCGGGGCCCTCGCGGCAGGTCGGGCACGTCCTCCTACAGGGCAATTGTTTATACATCCTTTAAAAATAGGATCTTGAACTCATCGTTGTAGTTCATGCTAAACTCATCGTTGTATGGACACATTTATGCATGAACTCAGTTGTACATGCTAACTAAGTTATGGACACATGTATGCATGAACTCACCGTTGTTGGTCATGCTAAATCCCTGCACTTTTAATACATGATCCGCACGCGGAGCATGTATAAAAAACGGCACTGTACAAGCGAAGCTTGGAAGAGAATGCACCACACCACCCAAACATCTGCAACAATAGTCATCGCAACACGACAAGTGTCGACCCCAGACTACGATTTTTCACGAATCATGACTACTCCTCCTCTGGAGGATACATGCCCGACTTGACCCTCGTGGCGACCCTGCGGAAGACTTCGTCCCCTCCTGCTCTGGGGCAGGGCTGGAGCTGAGCAGTGCTTTTCGTTTTCGGTTCGTCTTCGCTCTCCTTCCTTCTGTCTTCGTTCTGCATCTGCAACGGAACGAAATCAACCAAACGCCGTTCGGCTCGAGACCTGTCCCTGGAGAAGGGCGCCTCTCCGGCGCAGGCCGCGATGCGCGAAGCGGGGCTTTCTCGGCGCCCCTGCGGAAGACTCAGGTCCCTACTGCTCTGGAGGCGGCCCACATGAGCGACGATCAAAGATGGGTCTTACAGTCAAGGCGTTGATCCAAGGAACCCTACATAAGGAACGAGGCCCCTTTTCTCCGTAAGTTAACTTCGACTTCCCATCGAAAACTTAAGGAGCACCTTCGGAAAGCTATGAAACAATAAAGGAACACCGAGCCCCTCCCCAACGAAAAGGGTTACTTCTTCAGCGCCCCGACTGTACGCCGAATAGCACAGCGACCTCGCGAGGTGGCTTACGCGGGCCGCCAGCGCGGTACGCCGCGCTGAAAGTGAGGGCGCTCACGCGCGACCTCACACCTTACGTGGGCAGCTTGCGCGCCAATGTCAGCGAAGACGACCTCGTTTTTAATGCGTCGCTCAAATGTCATTGCACCGGCCTTGCAGACGTGCTGCCGCGGATTTCTGCGTGGATTTCTGCGTGGATTGATGCCCGAGACGGCGAGTGAAAAACAAAGCGGATTTCGCGTGGGGTTTGTTGGTCTTCATTCCTGGCCAAATGAAATCCGCACGAAATCCACCTCGAAATCAGGAGCGAAATTTCCAGGACACTCTGGGCCCACCCTATTGTTTTCCGAACGAAAGCCGCTCTGCGATGTCGGCGCCATGAACCTTACGCCTTACGTGGGCAGCTTGCGCGCCAATATCAGCGAAGACGACCCCGTTTCTGCTGCGTCGCTCAATGGGGCCAGAGGGAATGGGGGTCGGAAGGTGGCCCCGCGTCAACGATGCATCGACGGCGCCAGTAAAGATAATGGGACGCGCAGGGACATACTAATACTACATGTCCTCCTTGGAGGCGCGCGCCCGACCCGAACATCTAGTATACCCATCTTGTAGTATATCGGTACCCGAGCGGTGTGGCCAGAAAGCGCCCGCCACGACGCATGTACTACAAGATTTCTCGGTGCGCGCGTCGCCCCTGGGGGGGCGACGCACATATGGTATGAGTAGGTTGGGGTGACGCCGAGATAGGATCGGGCATCGAAGCGCAGGTCATGACGAATCCCGTCAAACTCTGCCCCTATCGCAGGCCCAGAGGTTGACACCAACACCAAGATCGGCGGTGTGCCTCCACCGAGGGATGAAGATCCCAATCTCGGAGATGGTGGTAATATTCTGGCTTCCAAGGTGACCGAAATATTACCACCAACACCGAAATCCAGGATCATCTTCCCCCTGTGGAGGCAACCCCCTGTTTTGGTGTTGGTGCCCATTTCCAGGCCTCCAACCCTGGACCCCTCGCGGGTCCATCCGGGCCCCTTCTGCGCAG